AGTATCACTAGGTATCCACCGATAGGGAAGAGTGATCACCTCCTCACCCTGGTCGATATCCGTACGAAGCCACCCGTACGCTGATTACGGATGCATAAGTATTTTGGGAGAATTTACATAAATAGGCTTCGGGAATACACCGCACATATGCATTGGGTTCCCGAGCGTGATACCACAGACGTCGAGGAATGCTGGGTGTTGATCAAACATAACCCCCCAACCCCCGGGATCTTTTTGCTCCTTTAAGATATAGGAGGCATAAGGGAAAACCGCCATGGTGGCGGGCCAAAGTTGCCAGGGCCATTAGGTACCGGAACCGAAGCCGGCGGGCCTACCAACTAGCCGGCACCCATAGGTTGTGTGTTCAGTACACCGCCTACAGAAATGCAGCGGTTAACCGTGTGAGGGAGAAAAAAATGGTTATTCGAAATGAAGCCGGCCTAGAAAGTAAAGCTGGAGCCAAAGAGGTACTACGGATATGTCCAGTCAAATGATCCACCAGAGAAGATATGGGCCCACCATTACTTGATGGATATAGGGTTATAACTGAAAACCAGAGTAAAGCTGATGCACTCTGCGCTTACTTTAGTAGCGTGCAAAGGCTAGACACTGGTGATTCAACTTCTTATCAACCCTCGAGGACAGACGTAGTGGAGAAACTACGGGTAATGGTCGATCAAGTATCGGAGGTACTAGGTTCTCTTTAGGTGTCCAAGGTGACAGGACCAGATGGAATTAGCCCAGCGATCATCAAACCGATGGCTGATTTAATAGCGAGGCCGATGTGTAGCCATTTTAGGACATTAGTAGCTGAAGGGAGATTATCGTTTGACCGGAAACGGTTTCTGTAATAGCCATACACAAGGACTGTAAGAAGACAGATGTAAAAAACTATCGACCTGTTAGCTTAACTTGCGTACTATGTAAGGTACTAGAAAAGATAGTTATAGCGCATCCGGTGAAGCATCTGGAGCGTAACATACTAATGACAGAGACACAGCATGGTTTCGTTAAGCAACGTTCATGCCCAACAAACTTGTTGTGCATTTTGGAGGACGTTACTGCAAAAATAGATGAGGGAAAAACCGTAGACGTTTGTTACCTGGATTTCAGCAAGGCTTTGGATTCAGTGAATTATTGCCTGCTGTTGACCAAATTAGAACGAGTTGGAATCCAGGAACATTTGCACAGGTGTGTAAGTGCCTTGCTCTCACAACGATCGTTCTATGTGACGGTTGGTGAGAACAGGCCCACGCCAGTTCAGCTGACTAGCGGAGTTTCACAAGGCTCAGTGTTAGGACCGCTTCTATTACTTCTCTATATTAACGACTTGACAAGCACTCTGACATCATCGTGCTACATTTTTGCAGATGACGTCAAGGTGGTTAGTTCGAATGGGAGAAGTGATCTGGAGCGGGATTTAGGGCAGGTAGCTAGATGGGTAAAGGAATGGGACCTAAGTCTCAATCCTACCAAGAGTCATGTGTTCACAGGGACACTTGTAAGAATGGCAGTTCATTCGGAAGAGCACAAATTCGCTACTGAACCCGCTGCTAGGGTTAAGGACTTGGAGGTCATGATATCGAACAACTTTAAGTGGTCTGATCAATGTTCAGTAGTGGCGCGCACGGTTAGGGGGGAATTATTTAGACTACGGTCGGTCCCAGAATGCAAAACCCTGGAAGTCTTCATTCCCGTTTACAAAGCCATAGTCAGAACACTCCTAGAGTATTGTGTACAGGCTTGGGCACCCTTATTGAAGAAGGATGCTGACTGATTAGAGAACGTGCAGATTGGCCACCAGGTCAGAGGGGAAAAACATATGAGGAAAGACTTGAGGCTCCAGGGCTTTTCTCATTAGAACGAAGGAGACTGTGAGGAGACCTGATAGAAATCGTCAAAATCATGAAGGGAATATCGGGGGTAGAAGCGGACAGTCTCTTCACATTAGCTGCCCAACATGGCACTAGGGGTCATGAGCTCAAGCTCATGAAGCAGAAGTGTCGACTAAACATGAGGAAGCACTTTTTCAGCAATAGGAAATTTTCGACTTCCAAACAGTGCAAGCATTTAAGACTGCAATCGATAAGCGATGGGTGGAACTATTCCCACAGCTGGCAGTTTAGACGAGTGTAGGTGTACCAAATGTTTAGGATCCCTTACCCCTTTTACTGGTATACGCATGGAATGCTGGCGCCTAATAAATCACTTTCCAACTTGGTGAAATGATATTTGATTTCTCATTCTTAATTCAGCAGAGCTGGGTGCCCACGTTGTGTGCATACCATCGAAGGAATTCTGGACGCTCGATTGGTTGTGGTCATATTCAGTCCGGTGCAACCTAACCTGACCAGACCTGAACCTGAACTCTGGTACGTACCCCGCGCGAGGTTTGAATTTTGACATGCTCTCTGCTACAACTGTTTATACTAATAAAGTGGAATATCTACCGATATTTCACTTATTATACACTGCATGGGTTAAACCAAGGCACATTTCATAATTCAGTGACCGATCACAGGTCACTCAGTTTTACAGAGTTCGTGGTAATAATTCGTTCTGCGTAAACAGTTTTGTTTACTGTTTTTTTGGCGTACATGTGTGTTAAATTTTTCCATTTTTCCAGTTTGGAAAGCAGTCATTTTTATCGGTGTTAAATTTTTAAATGTTTCCACCTTTCAATTTCTGCACGGAATGAGGTAAAAGAGTGTGGCGTCCGTGGAGAGTTTGTAGCCCAGGGTATCCAGTGCGAACGGTGCCATCTTTGGTATCATAAACGCTTTAGTAAGCTGACAAAGAAGTGCTACGACCCATACACGAAACATAGTTCCCTGCGATGCATCTGTGTCCACTGTATAGCGATGATAAGGGAATGCTCACGCATCCCCAGGGACATTGCGGCGGACAACACCAGCCAGCCGGATCAGCCGAAGAAAACAAAACCTCGGGTGCCCAAAACAACGGAAGCAAAGAAAGCAAACCGTAAGGAAAACCGGCAACCAGATACCAAAACGAAAGAACAACTACCGCAGTAGCTCAAGAGGGGCGCGCGGAGGGCATGACAAGTATAAAAGACGGGTTAGAACAGCTTGGAAAAGAGCTGAAAGAAACTATTCAAGCAATCCTAGGAAGGGATAAAAAGATACTTCTGCATAACGGCGTGGAGCCCGTGATTAGAGACTCTAAGTCTCGGCACAAGGCGGACCGGAAATATGTGCAGACCGCGCTTAGACTAGCCGGGATGCCTACCATGATGAGAATTATGAAGTGTCATAAAGTGGGACTATGGAAACGAGAAAGGGCCACCTAAACTTGGTCTATATTGTTAGCCTTCACGAGTGTGTATGCGAGGGATCGCCTAATGTCCAGAACATCGGCAATAGAAGGCATCACCAAAAGCGGCAGGATTGTCACCTGCAAACAATGGTACGGTGATCCGTAGAACAAAATGGCCACACAACAGTAAACTTCGGGCAGAATGCAAAATGCTGGATGAGTGCCTTTGTGTTTATCTAATCTAAATACCTTTCCGGTTGACTAACTTCGGTACACCTACCTGCCATCCTATCTATATTAGGTGAGTTAAAGTCACCGACTATGTACAGCTTTGCTGATCCTTGAACTAACAGATTGAGTGCACCAATCAAAGCCCGATCATCTGTGGCCTCAGCCCCGTGACATCGGTAGACACACGCCATCGTAATTTTGCTACCCGGTAACAGCAGAGCCACAGCACATAGTTGGACACTGTGCAGCTTCATCGAAACTTCGCAAAACACAGGTTCATTGTCCTTTTGAACGTCAACCAATTCACACTTGAGTGACGCGTAGCCGAAAGTGATACGAATCCCGAAATAGAAAACACGATTGATCCGTAATGTTCTACGGTACTAAATTAGCGAAATCATTACAAAATGT